GATTTATCTACTTCTCGATTTAGAAAATAAGAAGCTAGAGTTTGGTGTCAAAGGAATAACAACAAGAAAAATATTTCAAAAGGAAAAATAATAGATATTTGCCCTTTGGAAAATTAAATGTTCCCATCATTTCACTAATAATATCTATTTAGATTTTATTTTTATTAAATCTTCAAGCTAATAAGGAGATGTAGCCAATAAAGCAGCTGGTTAATTTGGTGGCCACATTTATAGTATTTTACTTAGCAACATGAGGATTTAAAGGGGGAAATAAGTCTATTGGCTCACTGTTTAACGTAAATTAAATATTTTTGTTTTTATGAATACAGCTTATCTTTCATGTCAACCTCATAGGGAATTAGGTAGTGCACTATTAATGAGCTCAGAGAGAAATTAATTTTAGAAACAGTGTACAGTAAATATCTGAGTGAAAAAAATCTTTGATATTCAGAAAAACTGTAACTATAAAGAAAAATTAACTCAATAGCATAGTTGTTACCAAGGATATTGCACCAGGCTTGATCAGATTATTATTATTATTTTGTTTCAAAACTATCCTTTGGATTTATATTATCTTCAGAAATCACCTCTTCTTTTTTTGATCTTGCTGTGATAATATTTTATAAAAAGGTGTTTTCAAAAAGGAAAGACTATGTTGTTATAGTGTGGCAAATTCGCCTCCTCTTCTCCATGACAGCAGATAAAGAAGCTGTAACTATGGCAACAGTAATGGACCAGACAGATTAGGGCCAGATTGGAGATTAGGACTCCAAGAGCAAAGAAAAGAAGTCCTGATTGGTTCTTTATTGAGACCTTATTTGAAGGCAAGTTACTGTTGAGAGAAAGAATGGAGGATTAGTAAGAACAAAATTAATTCTGCTGTATAAAATAGGAAGGCATTCCTTTGTTTAAATTGTGTCCTTTCCTTTTCATATAATGCCTGTTTAATTTGAGGTAAAGAGTCTGTGATTAATTCTATTCTGAGCTTTATCAGTGCCATCTGAGTCTAGACCAGTGCTGTGGGAAGACACTCCCTGATGCCTGGGGAGAAGAGAGAGAAGTGAATAGATCTGCTTGCAAACTCCCATTGCTCTACCTCTGGGCAGTCGCGGATGGGCAGAGAAGTCAACTCATTTTTGATGATGATATCATGCATGAGTGAGGCGCTCTCGGGGAAATAGGATTTTAAAACTTCCCCCTCTGTTCTTCTAAAACTTAGTTTTCTATCATCTTGAAAATTCTCAAAAAGGTTTCTCCAAGGTACCGTTAATCATATTTTTTAAAAAAAATCTTCTGTAAAAAATTTATTAGGGATTCCATTTTCTTTAAACTAATAAGATATATTTGGTATGATATTTTGAGTAAATGTGCTATCTATGATTTCAGACTGATGTCCTGATAAAGGCAGGAATTTGTTATTTTTAAACAATAAATTCATAGAAATGAGAATGCTTGGCTGAACATTATGTGTACTTTTTTTATTTTAAAGGATTTTGCCAAATATACTACTAAGAAGGTGGTACTCCCACAAACATCAAATGACAACGCATGAGAGCACCACACCCTGGTCAATGCAAGATATTAACATTTGTTAAAGTCTTGTCACTCTGACAGGATTCTTTTAGGCTTTAATGTGTATTTCTTTTATTGTTTATCAAGTTGAACCCACTTTTAAATGAGTTTATTTATTATTTTACTGATATTTTAAACATTAATTTTTATATCATAGTATTGCCTATTGTCTGTTATATATTTTCCAAATACTTTTGATCAGTCTTTCAAGAAGAAAGAGGACCCCAACTCATCCAAGAAGGATAGTAGGAGTTAGTCAGATGAATGCGATAGGCTTGTTCAATGTGCGAGCTGCTTCTGTGAAGGCCCTAAGGAATTGCCAGTGGTCCAGCATGAAGAGAGTATGTTTAATGCAAGCATCAAAAAGCCAAGGAGCCTCCACTTACCCCTTGAAGACAATGGCTTCATCTGTTGTTCACCACTCTCTCCTCTGCACTTAGAACAAGAATGGGCAGGTGACAGGTGCTCTGTGAACAGTTGCTGCGTGGGTAGAGCTACTGAACACTGCCTACTGTGGACACCTGCAAGCCTCTGCCCAAAGGTGAATTTTTTGACACAGGAAAACACTAGGTCATTGTTCGTGAAGGGCGATGTCCTTGGAGTCAGTCTCAGCCAAGGGCAGAGGTGTCAGTAGATAAATATCCCAATGTGCTACCCTCAGGAATAGATAACTCGAGGCATGTCCTGCACTAACTGCCAGAGTCCCCAGTGGTATTGCCCTTTAGTTCCCCACAGTGATGACCACCTAGATAATTCACTCTTTATAGAGTTCCCTCCCTGTCCTGTCTCACTTCCCGACCCCCAACTGGTGTTCCTGGGACCACTTCTCCCCAAAAGTATTTGCACGCAAGCCCTTTCCTAAGGCCCTGTCTATCTATAAGGGAAGCCAAACCAGGACAACTGGCCAGCAGGAGCCGGGCCAGTGAGCAAATGAAGTTTGGAGCTTGCCTTGACGTAAAGAGATATGGGGGATAAACAAGCAGTAGAGTGATAGGACCAGGTTTATATTTTTATAAGCTTATTCTGGATGCTTCATGCAGAATGTATTTGAGGAAGGGGAGTTTAAGGAAGGCAGAGGAACTGGAAGACAGTTGTAATGATTTCAGTGACCGAGTATGATAGTGTGGATATAAAAGAGGGTAGATTTATGAGATGTCCAGGATGGGAATCTAGCACGTGGTCAGGGAGGGAGAGGTGGGAATAGGGGATACATTTTGGGTTTCTGGGCTGTACAGTTAGTTGATGGGACAGCATGGATACAGACCAGGAGGAGAAGCAGGCTGAGAGATAGAGACAGTAATTTTGCTTTGGTGTGCTAGTCTGAGCTGCCTGTGGTGTGTAGAAGTAAAGGTTTTTGTCAAGCAGCTTAATATCACCCATATTTTTGAGAGAGATGCTCTGTATCCAGGCATCAATCTTTTCCCCTCCCCTTGCAACTCCACTACAAAAGATTGACTAACTCACTGCCAGTCTTCCATTTATTTCAAATTCTGTGCTGATCAGGAAAGCAAGGGGAAATTTTATCTACAAAGAAGTAGTCAAAGAATCTATGGAGTCAGAAATAACTTTGGACACTTTGTGCCATTCTTTAAAACCTTTCTTTGTCTGTATAACTGGTATGTATTGTAAATGGATAATGTTTCTGGAACCATTAAGAAAGGAAGTAGTCTATTCTCCCCCTCAAAATGGATTTTTTTTTTCTAGCCAACAGGAGTTTAGCAGTACTAGGGACTCAGCCAATCCCTGTACAAAGTGGATGAAAGAATGGAGAATAACTTTGATAATAACTGGGGGGAAAGGTCTACAAAATCCAGTTTGAGAATTAAATGTAGACAAATGGGTACTTTTGCTTTTGGGCTAGAAATCACTGTCGAGATGAAAGACATGTTCCATAGACTTGGGGCTTTGAACAAACATGAATTAATAGAAAGCCAGCAAAGATGAATTATGATTTCGCACACACACAAGCACATTCCCCCCAATATATACATACATATTTAATATAAAACTCCTATTACATATAATAAATGCCCCAAATGTTTGAAAAGCCAGTTTTCTAATTGTGCATAATTCAGTTATTCCTATGGATAACAATTGTTAAATTCTGCTATCAATACAGTGATACTCTACAAACATGGTACAGTTATGTTCCTTTGTCTTGTTTCATTTTTTTCTGTCATTTCCTTTACTGCAAGGTAGTTCATGAAAACTGCTTCTATTTTTTTGTTAGCTTTTGTCAACTTTTAATTTCTGCTCTGAATTTTCAATGGTATTAAAAAATCCATAAATATGATATTTCAAGTTGTATCAAAAAGAGTGCAAACAGACTTTGACAGGAATAAGGTTTTGTAATAATTGTTGGTTACCTGAGGCATTTATCAATACATGTAAGTCCATGGCTATATTATGTAATCTGGGGGTCTCCATTGATTTGACCTATAAATTAGGGCTTTACTAACTCTGTTTCAATTTATGTACACCTACTTGTGCTGTGTTATTTTTCTATTCTGAAACACATCTTAACTATGAAATCAGTATTTTAAATAATCAACTTAGTTATGAATTTTTCTTAAATATAAGAAGACGATTACAGTGTGTTTATTTTTTCCTTTGTCAGAAATCAGATGATCTTACTGTTTACTAAAACTATATGATCACATTTTTTCTAAAGTAGTAAAGCCCACCCCGCAAAATGTTTTGTAAACTTCTGTGAAATTATGGCCCTCTCTTAGCTTTTCTTGGAACTCTTGAAATTATTGCTAGGTAGTCTTTGGCAAAATAGTCACTGTAAATTTAGCCTATATTTCACATATCTTAAGTTTATATTCTGAATCATAACACTATTCTTTACTTCAAATATAGATACATGCATTATTTATTTATTTGTTTATTAATTCATCCATATTCTATTCAACCCCTGCCTCATTCCAGAAAGAATTCAGGGAGATATATTATTAATTACTTAAAACAATTTGCCGCTTGTCCAAGTCATTTTCTGTTATCACTTAAAGTCATGAGAAGTATAATTTGTTTACAATATTCAATTATATTATCCACAGTTCTAAAGTAAAGTCTTTCTAGAACTCATGTGCTTATGAAAAATTTATATTACCCAATTTCTTTCCTTGTTTCTTGCCTAAATATTTTTTTTTCTTACTGTCATGGATCCCATGAGTAATAAAAACTGGACAAATATGCAGCAGAATCATATATGTTATTATTAGCCCCCCTTTTTAAAACTCCCCAAACCTGAACATATTAATACCTTTGATTCTGGTTATTGTGTGCTTTCCCTTGGTTTTCTTCCTTCCTTTAGAATCTGTGTGACTGTCACATGGCAATGCTTGCTCATAGGCGTCTCTGCCTTCCTGCCCAATTCCCACCCATGGTACTGACATCTCTGACGTTCTCATCTCCTTCCTTCTTAGCTATCCCAAGCTCCAGTGTCCTCCCTTCAGCCCCCAGAGATGTGGTCCCCGTCTTGGTTTCCAGTCGATTTGTCCGTCTGAGCTGGCGCCCACCTGCAGAAGCAAAAGGGAACATCCAAACTTTCACGGTCTTTTTCTCCAGAGAAGGTGACAACAGGTAGGTGATGCTGCCAATAATATTCAGCCTAACCTGCAATCTCTTTATATGTACACATGTGATAACAACAATGGCAGATCTTGAGCAGGAACTTTGGAGATTCTTCGAAATCCCTACTGTGTGTCTTTCCTTCATTACTCAATGGAGATGAGTGGTTTGTAAATCAGGATTGTTTACAGAGTCAAGTTAAATAAGTACATTAAATAAGTTTATAAAAACTTACTTGAAAAAAGACAAGAATGTGAATGCATAATATCAGTGTTTTATTTCTTTGGTTTTCAAAGTGATGGGCAGAGAACAGAATTAGGTGGCATATTGCTAGAACAGGGTATGAAAGAACCACTGTAGTTAGTTAATAATCCCAACTCTGTCATTGACATCATGTGATCTCAAAATCACAACATGACTTCTCTGAGGTTAATTTTACTCTTTAATATGGAGAAAATAATAATATTTACCTTGCAATATTTTGTTAGGATTAAATTAGGTTGCCTATATAAAGGATAGCAGAATGTCTAGTACTTAGTAGAAATTGTTAATGTGAATATAATCATTGACTAGACAAAAGTGAGATGTATGTGTCTGCTTCAGAATTACAGTCTTCTGGAGCTTTTTTGTCCCCAATATTTTTCCCTTAAAATGTTTTGCCATTTTAAGACTATGAAATTTGATTGGTAAGTCTAAGATAGTTTCTGGATAAGTTTATGTGGGAAGAAGCAGTGATGCATGTACTAGGCTTCTGGTCTCTCAATTTTTTGAGTGCTTCAAACACATAATTACCTTTAGGGACTTCTCAGGATCCAAAATGGACTATATAAATAGGACTTGCATAAGTGGTATTTAGTGCAAAATGGTGCAGTATGATGACCACGTGGTACAATACAACTCCTCAATGCTGGGTCTCAAAATGTTTTTCTTTCTATCTTACAACAGTTAATGCATATCCTTTTTAAATTTTAGTGTGTTTTCAATTTGACCTTTCTTTAAAATGAAAAGAAAGAAATAGACATATATACACAGACATGCTCACTAAGACCATTCATTACCATGAAGAAGCAGGCATTTGTTTTAGTCTCACCTCTGCAACTATTTAACTTTGTGGTTTTATGATGTTTCATAAGTTCCTTGAATCCCTGCATGTGCAGTTGTGAAAACTGAAAGTAATATTAATGATTCTTACCCAATCATCTTTATGTTTTTACATATAATTTTCTAGAGGTACCTTAAATTCTACCTGCCCCAAACCATATTCACTGTCTCCTCCTTAAGCATATATATATATATATATATATTTTTCTCTCTTCTTGGTTTATGTTAGTACCTTCCATCCAGTTGACCAAGCAAGAAACCCAAGCCATATTTTACTCCTGCCTGCCTCCCAACACTGCCATTCTTCATCAAGTCTTGTCACATCTACCTTGGCCATAGCTCAGCCATGCCACTTTATTCTATGACTTCCATCATCATTTCTCTCATCTCTGGAAATAACTTTTTACCTTCTAACCCATCCATCCTCACTGTCTGTAGTTATCTTTTTGAAATATAGTTTAGATCACTCATTCCACTGCCCAAAGATGTAAATGTTAAGTTTAAATACAGTGACATTTTTATATAAAGACGTGTACATAAAAACTTTCAAACTCCATTTAATGGAAATCTAGCTCTGATTTATACATAAGGAGAAGTGTGGTTTTTATAACTTATAATGACTAAAACTATGCCTCTTAACTGCAAATAGCTGGATTGAAAATGGTCCAACTATTTGTCAGATGTGTGACTTTTGTGTATTTAATTGTATAAAGCAGGAATAATACCTCTCTGCTAGAATGAATAAAAAGAAGATACATTCCACCTCTCAGGATTGTTATGAGAACTAAATGTTGAAATTCAAGTAAAGCATTCAGGGCAGTTGCCACGTACAGGCAGAAGGGAGAGTCTCAGAATAGTGTGAGTTTGGAGACAATGTGGAAAAGAGGCAGAAAATAAGGTTCAAAGGAGAGGAGGATGAGGAGGAGGCGGAGGAGGAGGAGAAGTTGTTGAAGTTGCCATGTTTGAGCAAAATATTTATTTTCATAACTGTTCACAGTTGCCTGCTTATAATACTATTTTGTCCTTTCCTCTTCTATTGAAATCTTTCTTATCTTTCAAGCCCAAGCATAGATCCTCCATAGCCCCTTGGTTACTCACTCCCATAGCCATAGCATGGACCTTGACAACACCAATCACTGCAACTTCTCTATTATCTCAGTTTTACAAATTATATTCTTGCCTCTCTCTCCAGACTGTTATCTCCCTATCTTCCATTTACGACTTTTACACAAACCTTTGATTCCACAGGGACCTACAATTCATTAATCCTATGGATGTTCTCTCTCTCTCTCATCCTTCGTGTTTTCCTTCACTCATTTAACAGCTAAATTTCCATTATTGAAAACGCTTGCTGGCATACATTAATGTTTTGCTGGCTTATTTCATTTCACATTGCATGCTTAGCAAAATCCAACTCAAGTAAATGTAACTTTAGACGTACTCTATACTTGAACTCTTGTAGCTAAATATAGCTGGAGGAAAAGGTACAAGAAGGCTGACTCCTCTCACTTTGAATTCATAGCTACTAATCTCATGTTGCCCATTAATGCCACTGGCAATTTTACTGCATTTATCAATCCGCCTCTGTTTCACACATGTTCCTAATAATATTTCATGCCTTTCCTCTCTTCTCAGATCTCCAATAACTTCCCCATTTCCCTCAATCTTAGTTGACCTTGCTGCTAATTTCCTGGAAAATCAGAAGGGAAATTCTACATGCTTTCACATCTGAATTATTTACCCAAGTATGTCTTTAAGCACACAATCTGTCTATCCTCAAATTTCTATAAAAAAACCACCTGCACTCTTACCTAAAGCCAAACATTTACTTGTGCACTAAATTCCTTCCTTTCTTGCAACATAAAAGAACAAATATTCAGCCATTCTTTCTTTCTCCTGAATTTTCAATTTCTTCCACTCAGGGGGATCATGTCTAGCGGCCTGTAGGCATATAGTTACATCTCCGTTAGCAACCAATTCTCCTTCAATCCCACTTCCTTCTCCTCTACCACTTCATTCTCAGTTCCCTTCTATAGCAACATGCCTTGAATTGTCTAACCTCACTCCAATATCTCATCTCCTATTGCAATAATGATTTTGTTCCTAGAACTTTATTGCAACTGCTCTGACAAGCAGGTTACCCATGACCTCCATGTTGCTCAACCCCATACCTAATTTATGGTACTCACATTACTTGGAAAATTAGCAGATTTTGTCACATTTGATCAATTCCCCAAAGTCATTCTTCACTGAGTTTCTATTACCTACATTATCCTGGTTATACTCTAACACCTCTGGCCACTCGTGTTCAGGCTCTTTTGCCTGATCTGTGAAGATTGAATTGCTCCAGGGCTCAGAACTTGGGGTTCTCTTCTTATCCACTTCATGTCTTTATATTCTGTCAATATGCCAATGTCTTCCAAATTTGTGTCTCTGGTCCTAACTTTTTACCTGCAACCAGCTTCCTGCTTGATTTCTCAACATCAGTGTCCCGTGGGCATCTAAAACTTAAGATAATACCAAATACTTGTTTTCTTTCAACCCTAATCCCTCCCGAATACTTTATCATTCCAGAGTTTTCCCCACAGCATTGAAATCTTCATATTTCTCTTTAATCAGGTCAAAATCTTTGAAATAATTCTTAGCTCCTCTCTTGTTGTACCCCATAACAAATCCATCATCAAGTCTTGGCAGTACCATCAAAATATATCCTGACTCCATGAAATGATATGATACCTGGCATTTGCTATAAAATAATACAAACAGGCAATCTATGATTTTATATTTTAGGCTGAATTATGAGAATAAAAACATTCATTCTATTATTCTGTCTAGCTTTATATTGCTTAATTTATATAACAAAAATCAAAAAAACAAATGCAAATAAAACATATACTTAATCCTGCCACTTCTTAGCCCCACCTTTAACCACAAGCAAATCTCATCTGAACTATTGCAATTACATTCCAAGTCTAGACTAAACCTAAAAGCTGGAATAAACCTTTTAAAACATGAGTTAGATTGTGTGATTTCCCTGCTTCAAAACTCTCCTATGACTCCCTGTCTCATTCAGAAAATTAGCAGAAAAACTTGCTGTTTGGTCCATTGTTACCTCACTAACCTCATCATTTACTATTCTTACTATTATTTGTTCCCTTCTTTCTGATCTCACTGGCTTTCCTGTGCTTCTTCAATATGCGAAGAATCCTCTTCCCTCGAGACCTTGGCACTCACTGTTTAGTCTGTCTAGAATGTTCCGTAACTTCCACTAAATCTTTGCTGCATTGTTATCTTGTCGTGACGATTTTTCCTGACTCCTAGCTCTTATTTTTCTCCATCACTGTCAATACCTTCTACTTACTAATTTTGTTTCCTTAATCCTCTTTCTTTCTACCAGAATATAAGCTTCATGTGGATAGGGCTATTTTTTTCTCCTTTATTTGTTGAGCTATTCTCAGCACCTTGAGCAATGCCTAATCTCTAGTAGACACTCCCTAAATATTTGCTGAAGTCCTGACTGAAGTGTCAAGTACTAAGTGAAACTTCAGTCCACATTGCTCCAAGACAGAAGTCATCAGTTTCTCCTCTATCTCGCCTCTTCATTTTGATTACATTACTCTTAGGACCATTGCCACCTTTAGTCCTGTTTGGTATTTGGTTGAGTACAAGTGTATTTCCCTCCCTGGTGATTGAAACTAGGTCTTATTCACAATCCTATGCTAAGCGTCCGGCACCATGCCTTGTGTATTGGAAATGATACGGTAAATGTTGCAGAGAGACAGATGTGATATTTGTGATAGATTTTTCCTTAATCAATAAAATAAATCGTGTTACTGAGGAGGATGACTAAGCTGACTACAGTTTTATAAAAAAGTTGTTTAATTGCAAAAGAATAAGAGCTGATATTAAAA